GTTCTCTTAAGATGAGCTAGGGTCTATGCCATTTTTATAGAAGCCATACAGATCGGCACGATCGACCTAGGAAGTACTGGCTAGGCTAAGACTTAAGCTTGTGCTTAGCGAACAACCACTTCTGTTTCTTTTGGCCCAGGGATCGAACATCCGCTGAGAGGGCTAAGTCGTTTTTCCTATGGTGTTCTTTCGGTGTAGTTGTTCTTCCATGTCTTGTTGCCTTTTTAGAGTATTGATTGCTTTTTGTCTTGCTTGTCGCTCTATCGAGGTAGTTGCATCGAGGATAGCGTTGATCGGGCCAGAACCCATTGGAGGAAGGAAATGCGAATGGCAGCAGGACTTTGAGGAGATCAATTGTGAGTACACTAAAGATCTCAGAGATGACCAATCAACAGGTGCCACATCCCACCCAACCTCGTAGAATCCTATTAGACATGCTATAATGTAGATGCTAGCGCTTTACTTTTATGCAAATGATCTGTGATAGGTTGCATGGTAAAATTTCTTGTGAGCCGTTACCTTGTCACAACCTATACCCCTGTACACCCACTGTTAGGCTAGATGCTCGCTTACTTACTTGCTACTGCTTCTACTATGCATTATATCTATGATGTGATGCTTGGTGGAGGGTTATTTGTGAGTGGTAACAACCGGGGAGATCTTGGTGTGCTTCTTGGGTGTGTGGTGAGGGTTGAGTCGATCAGGCAGGATCTTACAATGAGTCAGTTGATGAGTCTTGCTGGGAGGTGTGACCTAGGCATCCCCTACGAGAGGTACTTGTGGCGGGTGCATGTGAGATGAGGAGATCCCAGGGTGGAGTGTCTTTGTGGCATGAAGCCCTAGGATGGAGGTGCCATCAAGGCATGGGGTGTTGGTTATCCCCTATGAGAAGATGTCATGTCCGGTCCCCCTAAGGACTGGTATGTCGAGAGAACCGGATCATAGGACCCTACGTGCACGCCACTCATTCCTGAATGGGCAAGGGACGGATCTTCGACTGCTAGGGACGGTGCCACTACTACTAGGTTGGAAGTGGATAGTGTAGGGAGGTACGGGCGTGTGGCCCACACCCTCCTAAGATAGCGTAGTGACCTCTGGGACCCGGTACTATGTCTCACAGTCTCAGTGTTTCGGTGGACTTTGGGGTGACCCAAGGCTAAGTGGTAGGGCGGCATCACACCGGTTGGAAGGTAGCCCGGTATCAGCCTAGGCGGGGCACCGCCGATGATGGTGATCTTATGGTTCTAGGTGTACACGCTCTGCAGAGTTGATCGATCTATACGTATAGCCGTGTCCTCGGACATGGACATTCCTATAACCTACGCTTCCCTTGATTAGTGAGTGGAGTCCTTTCTTCTTCTCCCCCTAAGTGTGGTGTTGGATTCCAGTGTTGGCCGTTGAGGCAAGGCACGAGAGGGAGTCATCCTTGCCGCCTAGAGAGTGAGAGTGTGGTGAGATGGGTGTGATGGGATGGGTGAACATGTGGATGAGATGGGTTAAAACTTGATGAACTATTATAAAATAATGATGAACTTGCATAGGAAAACTTCAGCCATAAATAGGTCTTTTGCTCTACCCTTGCATGCCACTTACCACAAAGCAACGCAAAGCATAGGGTGGGATCCAATGGCCAGTACAAATCATACTGAAAGATATTTGGTAGGTTTGGATGACATCTACGACGACGACGATAGAGATTAGAAGGATTAGGTGGTCTCTTTCCTACGCTCAAGTTTGGTTGAGGAGATGAAGTCTACGCCCGCTGACATCCTACGTTGACTCTGAAGATTGCCCATGAAGGAGGAGCCTTCACCCGCTGACGCGCTACGTCGACTCTGATGAAGATCTATATGCGTTTCTACTAGAATAACAATGTACTTAGGTGTGTTATCAAGTGTTGTAATGCCTTGTAATCTTGTAATTCCGCGATGTATGAACTATGATATCAACTGAATAATGATAATGTGATAGTTTGGACTTCCTAGACTACCACATTATGATGTAATCTATGGATTTCCCTTCGAGGAAATTGTGGATCGTTTCACTCACCAACCGCTAGAGTCGGACAAGCGCTACGCCCAGTACCTATCAAGAGCCGGAGCTGGTTTTCTTAGCCTGGCTCGAGCTATCAATGCAGGCCTCCTAGACATGGATGGTCCCCTCATCACCACCTTCGTCGATAGGTGGCATCCAGAGACCCATAGCTTCCACCTACCCTTTGGAGAGATGTCTATGCTCATGCAAAACGTTGGCTACATTTTGGGCCTTCGCTTTGACGGTCCAGCAGTGACAGGCACGATAGATACAGAGAACTAGAAGGATTTGGTGGAGCAGTTTACCGAGCATCGACCACCCGACCCTGAAGAAGGGAAGAAGGAGAAGAAGACTTCGGGTGTCAGCTCAGCCTAGTTGCGGCAACGCTTTAACAGGTGCCCACCCTATGCACCGGTGGACATCATTGAGAGGCACGCTGTGTATGCTGGTGTGGCACATGGTCGCAAGCTTCCTCCTTCCGGGCGCCACGGGAACACCGCCTCTGGATGGCCCTACCCCGGTGTGTGAGGCATGGGAAAACATCGCCCAATATAGTTGGGGTTTGCCACTCTTGCTTGGTTGTATTGGCAGCTACTATGTGAGGCATGTAGGAGGGGCAACACCAATTCCAACGTAGGTGGTTGCACGTACTTGCTTTAGATTTGGATTTGGAAGCACATTCCTATCGGACGGGTGCATAGAGGCCAAGTTCCGGTAAGTACCTTGCATTTATTTGGTATATGTGTTTCATATGGTGCATGCACTATGTGACATGCTTATAATTGTTTTGTTTTTTAGGCATGGACACATGGTGATTGTCGTCCCCTGTGTGCTACCTTTGGAAGGCAATTAAGTGGGTTCGGGGTCAGCCGCAATGGCGCTACGTTCAATACTCGATTGATTTGGATGTTTTAACTCCAAATTAGGTACGTTCTACCACCGATGCTTCCATTTGTTTTCTTCACAAAGTATCAACAAGGCCATGTACTAATTAACACAATTTACAGGTTGAATGGGATCCATATGACAGGCGAGAGGTACGGAACTTGAACATCCCCCACTTGTTGAAGCTGAGAAGGAGTTGTGGCAATCCAATGTAACGATGATCTTGTACTATGTGGTCGAGCACCACCTGCCCCAAAGAGTGATGAAGCAGTTTGGTAGGAAACAAAATTTCTCTCTACAACACGAGTCGGCAACTCGGGAGTTGCACGAGTAAGCTGGACTTTGCATATATCATGACTCACCATTGCATGGTTCGTACAAGCCCTCAAATTGTAATATGTGTCCTCCTTGTAGGTGTTCGAGGAAGAAAAGGTTCAGCGGCAACAACTGGCTTATCAAACATGCGAAATCACGTGGAGCGGTGGGAAGAAGAGAGAGAGGTGCTTCCAACTAGTGGGGCTCGATGCGTGAGCAGCGAGTACCGTGAGTACCTAGCGTGGCTTCATAGGTCCACCAGAATCAGTGTGCATCCACCGCTATTGAGCGTTCCAATAGATGAAGGACAGAGCGACGACGACGACCCCTATGATGTGATGATAAGGGTGAGCGTGCAGCCAAAGAGAGCGCGCCACTTGAGAACTACATGGCAAGCATTTAATTTGAACTATGCATTCACACAGCTTCACTTCAAAAGTACGTGGTAACAATGATTATGCATGTACTCTAGGCAATTCAGCTAGCTCACCTTTCGAATGAGGGTGCAGTTTACCTTGGACATGCAAGGGGGATCGAGAATTCATACCTTGAAGAATTTGCACAGGTAGTACCCCTATGTCTATGTATTTTCCTACTTACCCGGAACAATATGTAACCACTTCTCATTTCACATGATCATGGTTGCAGAAGGTGTTGACATCCTGTCGACGCATGGCTCGCAAAGTTGAGTCGCAGGAGAGCCGAAGATGTATAAGTGCCACCTCCCCGATCCTCCAAAGGAAGAGAAACCCATTCAAGGCAAAGGGCAGCGATTGATAGACCGGAGAGCTCCCGTGCAAGGAGCAGGGATGAGGAAGACGACGAGGACGGAGGCGATGATGACAACGATGATCCACCGTATGAGCAAGATGAGCTGACGGGTTCCCAACTTGCTGATGCTCCTCAGGGTACACAAACTCAGGTGCATGTGTATATTTGTTGAGTGTCATTAGAATCTACTACATGATTTGGTGATGGTCCTCAGCCTACACAGTCTCTATGTTCTCTATTTTTTTGTAGAGTTCGTCCCAACGCTCGTGACGAGGTCAAGGACGAAACATGCGAGGACGTGCCCGTGACCGCTCCGACATCGGCACTCCTAATCTCCTTGCCACAAATCCAGGCCGCCAGCGTCGTCCTCGATAGCCCTACACGTCTAACCCTTAATCTCATCTATTAACTACGTGCATGCTTTGTGAACTATGTGCTTCTTTGGTGGATTATGTTGGTCTTGCTACAACACAGGTGAGGGAGTCATACCTCATGCACAAGACCGATCAAACCTGAAATGTAAATACAAACTTGATCAAAGACAAATAGAGGATGGGAGGAAGAGAAGAGAGACAAGAGAGAAGGGAGATGACCTCGAGCTCGGCCAGAATGAGGGAGAGGGAAGAGAGGGAAGGAAAAGGAGGTGGGCCGCGCCCTTATATGGGCCTGTCGCGCTAGGCGGGCTGGCGCAACACGATGGGGCCCATGCTCCGTCACGCCAGCTCTAGCCAACCATGCACGCCAGCGTGGCATGGCTGTCGCGACAGCGTGGAACTGTCGCGCCAACATCTTTGGCATGACCAAAATGGTCAGATTGCACAAATATTTTTTGAGAACGGTTAGTATTAAAATATTTATTTAAAAAGAATTAAAAATTTTCTATAGGTGTACATCCATGTCCCTTTACTAGATCCGCCCCCGCTTCAAAGTTCAGAACACAGTACTGTCAACTATGCCCTTCCCATTGACTTCAAATCTAAAGAAACCTACAGAAATTAATAAATAAACTCTTCCAAGGAGCTAACAGCGGCTCGAATTGTTAGACAACCTTGGCTGGCCCTGGCGACGAGCAGTTGACCAAATCGAAAACTCCACTTGGGGTCCCGGTGACGAGCAGCTGAGCAAAACGAAAACACCTTGTGGACTGTGTACTTCAGCCTCCAGCCACGAGATTCCACCGTCTTCTTCTCAAAGCGCTGTGCCTACAGCAAAATCAAAACAGACCACGTAAAACAAGCAAAAAAAAACAATAAGAATTCTGAATTGAATTCGCTAAAATTTCAGTTTCGAATCCTAATTGGACATCACCGCGGGTGGTGGCACGCAAGCACGGACGCGGCGGTGCTCCTCCTCCTCGTCTCCGGTCACGGCATCCGCCCGCCTCTTCTTACTGGCGCAGCTCCCGAGCGGCGGCAGGGGCACCTTCTCCAGCACCCCGCAGAAGCACTTGAACTCGTGGCCGTCCACGAACAAGCGGGAGCTGATCGCGCGCAAGAACCGCTCCTCTAGGCCTGCGATCTCGCCGGTGCGGATCGCGCGGTCTGAGGCGGCCTCGAACACGGCGGCCCAGTTCTTGGGGGAGTGTCCGCCGAGGAAAAGCGCGACAGCCACCAGCCGGTGCGCGGTGGACGGCTCCACCACGATCCCCGCCACCCGCGCCGCGTGGCTGCCGATGAATCGCGTCAGATAAACGCCAGCGAGCACGAAACACGTACCGTCGACGCGGATCACTTGTCCGGTGGCGGCCTCCGACCGAACCAGCACATAGATCCGCTCGAGGAAGTCCCGGATCGGCACCTTGGGAACCGTCCGCCCGCGGAAGGCGCGGACCAGATCGTTTCCGGCGGGTTGGGAGGCGGCGGCGGCGTGGAGGCGGGCATCCTCCTCGACGAGCGCATCGAGAAGGGGGAGGGATCGAGGGATCCCCCGGTCGTCCTCGCACAGGACGATGGCGGCGGCGGCGGCGGCGGCGGCCGCCATTGCGAGAGCGAAAGCGAGGGCGAGGGTTTCGGCGACTGGATCGGATTGGATCAGATTAGATGTGGCGCGAAACAGAGGGAGGGACCGAGGGAGACGGCGAGGTGGGAGCGTATAAATATACGCAGGATACGCGTTACACATACGCTGTACGTATACGGTAGGATACGCGTCAGTACTACGCTGGCACGCAGGTTGGGCCAATTTGCGTGGGCCTATCTGCAATACTTGGCCCATTCTGAACGGGGAACGGAAAAACGAGGAGAAATTTTCTAAAATCTGAAAAAAAGGCTTGTAACTACATATGAAACCCTATAAGTTAAGTGGATTAAAAAACTAATAAAACAGTAGATTTTTAAAATATAGCCCCAGTGTAATATTATCAGTGTCAAGATAATTTCATTCCTCTGTCAAGATAATAATAATTTCATTCCACGAAAAACCTTCCATTGCTAAAGTTCTTTGTGTTTTTTTTTCAAATTTTCCCTAATATTTTGAGTTTATAGTTCCAAGTTGAAATGGCTCTCGTTGTTTAGACCCCATACATTGGTAGTCTTAAGGTGTCAAAATTGAAAGTAATAAAAAGTGAACCATCAATGTAATAACATCACTAATTTCAAAATAATTTCAATTCATTTAAAAGAAATTCAAACTTATATTGCTAAAGTTACTTGTGTTTTTTTTTCTTTCAAACCCCTTGTTTTTCTTTTCAATTTTAGAAAGTGATTTGGGCCAAGTTGTGGGGCCTATCTGTAGTACTTGGTCCATTGCTAGAGAGAAAACAAGGAGAATTCCAAAAATAAAAGAAGATATAAATAGATTAAAAACAATAAGGCACTCAAATTAAAAAACAAACAATCAATGTATTAACATTATTAATTTCAAGAGAATTTCATTTAACCAAAATAATCAAGATTATTGCTAAAGTTCTTTTTGTTTCTTTTTTTCAAATTCCCCTATGTTTTTATTACATCGGCCCTCCTCACCTTCAAAAGATTTCCGGTGTTACTTTATATGTTAACTTTAAAAAGGTTGTACTTCGGAGTTAGTAGATCCCGCTTTTGGAAGAAAAAAAAGGAATTTCATTCTAGTCCTTGCAAGTTATCACAATCATTTGTCAATACAGTTCTATTATAGCCTCGGGCTGATAAAACATGCTCCTAAAAAGCAATCAACAGAAGGAAACAAAATGCCAATTCAAGCCCCATACTAAGCACTAAGCTATTAGAAGACATCCACTCATGATTGGTGAAGATCTCGAATGCTATGGTCTTCAATATAGGACATGCCCACCATAATCTTGGGCGTAAACCAAATGCAGCTTGAATCACTCTCCAAGCAAAGAGCGCCACATAACAGTTAAACAAGAAATGTCAAATGGTCTCTTTACTGTTGCGCCTTTTGGTTTACTAACTTTTTATACATTTTAATTGCTTTGTGAAAATACCATTGTTATTGAGTTCCACTTAAACCTATCTTGTTGGCTATACATAGTTACATACTTCTGAAATTTCCGTAGCTTGTGCAATAGAACTTGTTCTCTAATTTTAGTTTACGATTATCTTAGGGCGCCATTGGCAAGCAGGAACGTTTCCGATTCTGCCGTGGATCCCATGAATCAGTGCCAAACGAAATAATGAAATAAGGCACAGCATTTCGTGAAACGATTCTCATTTTTTACGCTATGCTGGTGAAACGGCCTAGGAGTAGTTTCGACAGATTCTGTTCCTTCCCTCTTCTCCTCATTAGCAATTGTATTTTTCCCCATTTTCCTTTTCAAAGTGCAACAAATTAAAATAAATAGTATTAGATCTTCACCCATAAAAAGTTCTAAATTATTTTGAAGCCTGTTTTTATTTATATTATTTTTATATAAAAAATAATTATTTAGGGATCAGAATCTAAGCCACCAGCCAAATAAACTTACGAAATGATTCTGATTCATCATCTAAGACGTTTCTTGAGAGAATTCGGATCCAAAACATTTCTACGAGAATTTGGATTCTTACCAAACGCACCTTTATAGTTTGTCATGTTAGCTTGACAACTACAACTACTACAACAACAAAAGACGTGTTTGGTTGCCCCGACGTCGCACTCCTAGATTTTTTTTTATTTTTAATATTTTTTTTAAACTATTTTCAAATTTGACACTGTTTTTTTATTTTCAACTCTAACACTTTTGATCGTGTCTATTACCACGGCGGGGCCAAACAACGCTGCCACGCCATGCATGGCGGCGCAGCAAAGGCGATGACGTGGCAGGGGCACGAGCCCTGACCGGCTGACGTGGCAAGCGCTGCTGCGCCGCCCATCTTGGCACGGCAATGCCGCGCCATCGTCCACGGCGTGGCAGGGCCGACTTAATGTCGCGCCGCGAGCCTCCCTCCCTCTCTCTGCCTTACGTCGAATAGAGGTGAGGGCGCCTGCGCCACCCCCTCCCGCCTCACAGAAGCCTGCCGCCGCCCAGCCCTCCCTGCCTATCTCCCTCCCTCCCTTCCCCAAGCTTCTCATCAGCCTCGGTCACGGTAACGATGCTCTTATTTGTCGTTTGAACGGTGGATTCAAAGATTATGAATGGTAGCTAGGGTTTGGAGGATAAGTATATTTGGGCTAGGGTTTGGAGGAAAATATTAGTTCGATTTTGTCATTGTTAAGGTTAATTAGTTAGTTAGAAGCAGTTACCATGTTTAGTGTGAGGTATTATTTTAATTGTAATACAAATGGTTCTCCTTTACATTAATTTATGATGTTTTGGATTGATGTTAAATTACAACCGTTTTATTAGATGCAAGACATGTATCGGGAGTAGTTGTGGCAAAAACAGAGCTGTCCTAGAGAATTGTACCCCGACGCATCTAGCAAAGATGCCTTCGTCCCTTCTGACCTCCCTGTCCCTAACTATGAATGTGGTTGTCTGGCCGACGTGTTTCAATCGAGAAATCCGGACACAACAGCTCGTTGCTTCTACATATGCAGTCGTTTTAATGTAAGTAATTCTTTCTGTATATTTTTTCTTCATTTGTTTTACTAGGTTACTAATATTTTGTTGGAATCTTGTTGTGTAGGCCCATGAGAGGTGATTTTTCTTTCAGTGGATCGACGGTGCAGATAAGTTTGACCCAAGGTACCTTCTTTTCGACGATTGTTGGAGAGGGAGACATCCACGTGAGCACTTCGAGCGGTGGGTTCCACCTCCCCCTAACCCTCCACCAATGATGGCTAAGGAGAAGCACTTGACTGCAATTAGACGACTCGAGGAACCTCGTATGTGCTATTGCGGAGATCGAGCTGTGATAAACTCTGAGAATGTGTTGGAGTTTGTGTGTCCAAACAAGCATGAAGTAAGTGGACAGTGTATCTGTTGAAATATTGAGCTATAGGTGTTCATGTACTAATGTCACCTCTTTTAGGTGTTTGCATTTGAGAAGTGTCGTTTCAAGGAGTGGCTCTATGGTCCTAAGAATCAATGGTCGGAGCCGTCAAAGGAGAAGGAAAAGGAAAAGAAGAAAGAAAGGGTAATTTTCAAAGCACCACCTGTCATGTGCGAATGTGGTGTTAAATCCAACTACGGCCTAGTCCCTTTGGAGCTTGGAATAAGCCATTATTGTGACCATATGGTTGACTATGATGAGGTTGGTTATTGTTGTGGAAAACATGAAATCATATATTTTTTCTTGTGCTAAGACTTATGATCTATTTTTTTGTTTCAACAGAGCACTAGGAAATGCAAGTGGAAATCTTATGATGGTCAAGCTAGGTTCTTGGATGAGTTGAAGGGCAGGCAAGTAATTGCACGAAAGAGAGGATATGGACCTGACTACATTGACCTATTCATTAAACAGTGGAAGAAGGACATGCGTGAGTTTGCTAGACAGAGCGGTATTCGTAAACCGATCGATGTCAGGCTTGACAAATGGGGTTTGGAGAGACAGAGGGCGTTAGAGGAGGAGAGAGCAAGGAAGGCTGCAATGGAGGAGGAAAGAGTACAGATGTAGGTCTTGAACGACCATGTTGCTGCATTGTATGCAAGTGAGTCATTGGAAGCCTTGTTATTTTCGTTGCCTGCTTTTATGTGTAATATAATCGTGTTTCTAACTTGTTGCATTTTATACATGAAGGGATTAGATGCAGCGGGGAGCATGCCGCAGAGGTGGCCCGTGCAAGGTATGTGGAATAGAAGTTACATGAGCACAGAACGCGAGATGGTCGTAGCATTCTATCTCCGATTGTGTTGGACAATGAGGGGGGCGAGGATGAGGACGGGACTATCAGGTTGAGCGATCTCATCGCTCTAGCGGAGGCGGGCTTGTAGGCGGAGAAGGATGAGGACGTCACTAGCAGACTGAGCGAGCTCATTGCTCTAGCAGAGGTGGGTTTGCAGGTGGAGGAGGATGAGGATGTGTTCTTCTCTCAAGCCATAGAGGCTGCAGATGCAGCAGAGGCCGCTTACTACAGGCGACAAGTAGAACAGGGCAATGTAGGTGAGCATAGTCACATGAACAAGGCGGAGGAGAACGCATTCTTGTCTTAGGCCACAGATGAAGCAGAGGCCACTTACTATAGGTGACAGGCAGATTATGGCAATACAGGTGAGCCTAGCCATAGCAACGAGGTTGTGGTAGAGGATTGGTACTCGGACGACGAGTCGCTTCTTCTTCCTCCTACCCTTCCCTACCTTCATTAGGTCTGGATGCGACACATAGTCATACCCAAGATAAGGGGGCCACTATGTTGGGTCAAGGTACGGCTCGAAGCTCTTCTCCCATATACTAAGGGTGTTCAAACGGAGATACAAGGGTGACATGTATGGCAGACCCTTGAAGTCATATCCGCGGACCCTGCAGGCAGTGATCATGTGAGAGCAAAGGGCATGCATGATCTGAGGGACATTGCAACTACACTCTACTTTGTCAAGATCAACTCGGTAGTTCCGTCCACCATAACGTTCGCCGCCCAAGTTTGTGCCACCCTTCCCCCGTACACTAAAGACATGCCGGTGA